GGCTGCCCAGGGAGGTGGGAGTCCCCATCCCTGGGGGGTTTCAGGGCCGTTGGGATGAGCTGTGGGGGATGTGGGGTAGGGGAGAACTTTGTAGAGTCGGGCTGAGGGTTGGACTCGGTGATCCCAAGGGGCTTTTCCAGCCTGAAGGACTCTGGGGTTCTGAACTGAGGCCGTGAGCATCCCCGCCAGGGCCAGGTCTGCTGGAACCTGATTCACTCCTTCAGCTCCTTGGGTGGGTGTCACGGCTCCGACACCTTCGTTATTCCCCCCCGCAGTGTCGACTCTCCTGGTGAAAATTCCGGGGATGTTCTGGGGGAGAAGATGCGTTTTTACGGGCGGGGGGAATTTGGGCTTATCTCTTCAGCCTGCTGGTATGTGCCGGGTTGGCTCGGCGCCGCCCTGCCCGCTCGCTGACGCCGCCGGGCTTTGCCCCCAGGTCCACGCCTGGGAGATCTCCGACCAGCTGCTGCAGATCCGCCAGGATGTGGAATCCTGCTACTTCGCGGCGCAGACCATGAAGATGAAGATACAGACTTCCTTCTACGAGCTCCCCACGGATTCCCACGCTTCCTTACGGGACTCTTTGCTGTCCCACATCCAGAACTTGAAAGACCTGTCACCGGTCATCGTCACCCAGGTAGGTACCGGGCGGAGGGCGGGAAGGAGCCGGCGAGTCATACAGGGCTTAAAGCCTGGCCTGCTTAGTCCTGACTTACTGTTGAGCCCAGCTTGTGTCACAGCCCTGCTAGAGCTGTTCCTTACGTAATGGCCGGCTTGGGGGAGGAAGAATAGATGCTGCGGGTCACACTGATGGTGGCCAGCTCCAGGTTTTGTCGCTTCTGAGGTGAAGCCCTTGGTTGCTTTTCCTCCAGCGTGGAGAGCAGAGAAGGTTGATGCCTGCAGCCGGCCTGGTCATGTCTCCCAGTACAGAATCGTTTTCCCTCCTTCATTATTTGGCTACTTTAGTTAAATTGAGTATTTTGCCCTCTTGTTTGCTGTTAGGAGAGGCTGAGAGGGAAACGGCTCTTCCAGGGCTTTTCCCCGCCGTTCTCCGATGGAGACAAAGTACCCGGGGGATTCCTCCCGAGGTGCTGGCGTCTCCTCAGAAATCCGCTCCTTCTTCCCCCAGCACTCCGTTATCCACCCGTTCCTGCGGCCCAGGGCTGCCTGACACCCCACACGCTGAGGGGAGGTTGCCCCTTGGAGCCCCTCAATAGCCCAGCAGAGACTGTCACCCCATCGGGGCGCTGGCCGCCTGCAGTTCACCCCTGGGGGGCTCCCGCACACCGCAGGGACATTGTGAATTAATCTCCTGCCTCTGCATGCTCAGAGTTACCTGCCCGCCCTGCCCAGCTCGGCTCTGACAGTCACAGCACCCTTTCTGCTCTGCTCTTGGGCAGATTTCATCCGTCACTGTGCTTAGTTGTGGTTTTTTTCTCTCTCTTCTCTTCCCCTTTCAGCTTGCTTTAGCAATAGCAGACCTTGCCCTGCAGATGGCTTCTTGGAAAGGCTGTGTACAAACACTGGTTGAAAAGTAAGTAATTGTTTATAGCCTTAAACTCGAAATGGTTCCTTCGGTGTTGAGTGGGTGGACCGGCGTGGTCCAGAAAAGGCACACAGCAGCGAACGGCCCAACGGTACGCAAGTTGGGGTTTTTGATTCCCTATTTAGTTTCATAATTTTGAGTCCCTGTTAGTTAGAGTCCCTGTTTGATTCATAATTTTGATTCCCTCTTAGATTTCCTTTTTGATTCATAATTTTGATTCCCTATTAGATTTCCTTTCTGATTCATAATTTTGATTCCCTGTTAGATTTCCATTTTTGATTCAAAATTTTGATTCCATTTTTGATTCAAAATTTTGATTCCATTTTTGATTCAAAATTTTGATTCCATTTCTTGACTCATCATTTAAAGTGTCTCGGATCCTGGCAGGGAGACGGGCTGGAGGGAGAGGCCTGGGGCTCTGCAGCAGAGTCTGGGCCCGCTCCCATGGCCGCAGCTCTCCGAGACTTGGCAATTTCCCTCATCCCCGTGTCTGTTACGGGCTGATCCCTCCTCCCCCTGGCTTTGGCACAGGATGGAGCCGCACGTGAGCCCCCGCTGTGGGGTGTCCCTGGGTGTCCTTTCGGCTGGGGCAGTCGCCCCATCTCCGTGCCACGGGGCTTTGTGCTGCCCTGGGCCACCGAGGGGGGGATGCCACGTGCTAAGACCCTGCTGAGGGGAACCCTGGTATTTCCTTAGCAGGAGGGAACTTGATTTATCTGGGCAGCAGCACCTGGACTCGATGTGCTCATCAACCAGCAAAGCTTCTGCCATTTTTCCATTGAAAACCTTGAGCCAGCCCACTGATGGAGGCTCTTCCCGACAGCACTCTGCCCTCGCAGCCGGGCGCTGGGGCATGTTCACCTCGTTCCGGTCACCTCCTCGCCAATATTTCCTTTTTCTGCCTGTGCGTGGCTGTCCCCCGCCTTCACACGCCGCCCTTCCCGTTGTTTCAGGTACAGCAATGATGTGACATCGCTGCCCTTTCTGCTGGAAATCCTCACGGTGCTGCCAGAAGAGGTTCACAGCCGATCCCTGCGCATCGGAGCCAACCGCCGGACCGAGATCATAGAGGATCTGGCCTATTACTCCAGCACAGTCATCTCCCTGCTGGTAAGGAGAGCGAGCCACGGCCCAGCCCTGCTCCTGCCCAACAGCCTCGTGCAGCTGCTGCTCCCCCTCCTCGTCACCGACCCGGATGGTTCCGCGTTGGTTGTGATCAAAAAGCCGGTCTGAAACAGCCTGATTTTATACATTCCAGTTACAAGCAGATCAAAATCCCAGCCAGGTTCCTCCACTGGGTTGAAATAGGAGCTTGTTGTGGAAATTTAACAACTTTCTCATCCTCTGTGTGCGGACTGTGTTGTTTTAGCGGGGAGGCTTCTTCTGGCACTGTGTACTCTAAGTTCAGGGAAAGATCTTTAGTCTTCTGGATTGTCGGTCCTGTAGTTGGCTAGGACTGGATTCCTGTGCAGGCTGGGGTTAGTTTGGGGTTATTTGAGGGTTAAGAAATTATTTCAACCCCTTATGGTGTGTGTAGAGCTCTAGATCATCTCTGGATTTACACCTACATGTGTCTCTATCACTTGAAAGAAAGACTGTCAGGTTCTTAGTGATTTCGCTCTCTTCTCATGCCCCTTTCAGACATAAATCCAGGCCTAATTTCTGACCATCATGTGATAAGCTGAGATGATGTGTTTAGCTGCAGGTCACCTTTACGACTGGCCAAACAGGGAGCCTGGAGCTGAATCTCCAGGTGGTTCTTCAGAGATTTCCCTGTTTGGAGGTTTCTTTTGGCGCTGTGTACTCTAAGTTCAGGAAAAGATCTTTAGTCTTCTGGGTTGTCAGTCATGTAGTTGGCTAGGACTGGATTCCTGCACAGCCTGGGGTTAGTTTGGGATTATTTGAGGGTTAAGAAATTACTTCAATCCCTTATGGGTGTGTGTAGAGCTCTAGATCATCTCTGGATTGACACACACATATGTCTCTGTCTCTTAGACTTTCAGATTCTTACTGATTTCTCTCTCTTCTCATGCCCCTTTCAGACGTAAATCCAGGCTTATTGTGTGATAAGCTGAGATGATGTGTTTAGCTGCAGGTCACCTTTAGGATTGGCCGAACAGGGAGCCTGGAGCTGAATCTCCAGGTGGTTCTTCAAAGATTCCCCCATTTGGGGAGCATTCACGCTCTCTGAGGTTGTTGTGGGCCCTGAAACAGGGCAGGCTGGGGGAGCAGAGGAGCAGCGTTGAGGTGAATTGCTTCAGGGACTGAAAAACGCTCCTGGCTGGCTCCTGCCTTTCCAGAGAGACTTCTCACGTTCTTCAGCCTTGTTTGAGCTCCATAAATCCCCCAACCTGGTCCCTGCTTCAAAGGGAGCGCGTGCCCCAGCCTCTTCCTGCTGGTGTCTCCCCATTCACGCCGCTTATCCGAAGAAGGGAAGGACGGTGTTGGCGTTCCCTTCCCGCCGATGTCAGCCTGCCCCACCTGCGCCCCGGGGCTCCTCCTGCAGCCGCTCAGCTGGGGGCTGGGGGTCTGCGCTCCCCCCGTCTCACTTCCCCCCTCCTGCTGCTGCTTCGCCGGGTCACTTGGGGGCTCTTGAAGACAGGAGGCACCTCAGCCTTGAGGATCCTTAATGCTTCATCCATGTGATCAAGTAAAACCCCGTGTTTTGCAGTGCTTTTTGGTGCTGTTTCCCCACGCTGCGGAATCGCAGCCCCCCCCCTTGCTCTTAGGCTGTCATTATTTCCTTATCAGTGAGCAGAACTGAAGGGTTTTATTTTTTTTTAGCCATGACCAACTTCTCTTCAGCAGATACATCTTCATGTCCCTTCCCGCTCTGGTGTGCAGCATCTTTGCCCTGCCCAGTGCTGT